CTATGGGGCCTGAGGTCGTCAAAGCCGCGAAGCGCAAACGTACGGACCATCGTGGTAACGATGCTGCACCACTCTCCTCCTCCCTCTTTTCTCGTCAACGGAAATGGTCCAACAGGCGGTTCCCCCTTCCTCCCCTCGCGCCAGTTGGTTGGTTCATTGGCGTGCGGGAGTGCCCAGTGTAGGCGACGAGCCCAGGGGGGAAATGAGAAGGAGAAGGCCTTCTCAGAAGGCCGCGGGACTTCTTAGAAGTCCGGGGGGCTTCTGAGACGTTTCCTTGGCCCATTTCGAATACAGACGGAACTTCTCAGAAGCCCTCTCAGAAGCCCAGAAACTTCTCAGAAGCCTCGGAAGTCCCGCCCCTTCCCATTTCCCCCCCGCGCCCGCCGCCGACAGTGGGCTCCGCTGCCAAAGTGCGCTCTGCTTGGTTGGCTGTGCTGGGATTGGCTCCGGGCCGACGGGATCCCTCAACAAAAAGAAGCCACGGGTCTGCGCTCCCGAGGCCGCGACCCACTGCAACAGACCAATCGTCCCGCGCTTCAAACATTAAGTCGGGCCTGTCCCCCTACAGGGGGATGTTCGACGACAAATTTTGAAAAATTAACCCCAAAACATACCCCAAAAAAGGTCAAACATAACCCCCCAAGTAGTCCCCAGACTATGTTTGGACCATGTTTCGATTCTTTGTTGGGTATTTCTTTATGCTTCGTCGAACATCCCCCTGTAGGGGGACAGGCCCAGCTGAATTCTAACACAGGCGATCCCGCGGACACGAACCGACGGGACCCGCGAATCCTGAGCTGCCAAGACGACCGAGGCCGGGCACCCAGGCCACCCGGATGGCCCAACACGCCAATGTCTGCAGCGCGACCCCAAGACTCGAGTGGTGGATCGACTACAAAATCGAATTGCCCCTAGAGTGCTGTGCGTGTCGAGTCTGTGACCCCAGGAGCTCAGAGGACCCAAGACAGACACGACACTGCCGAGCTATGAAACGTGACGGCGTTCCGACGGACCCTCCGACCGTCAGATCACAGTTTAGCCCCTCGTGCAGTTCGACTCCCAGTTTGCAGTCTCCCGTCGCGTAGCGGACGCCGACTCCCGACAGAAACTGAGACCGGGCTGGCACGGTGGCGGGACTCGTCGCAAGCCACTTGAGCATCCTGAGTTTGCGGTTCCTCTCCCTCCTTCTCATTCTCATCACCCTGTCCCTGCTCCTCCGCCTCCTCCGCCCCGCTCCTCATCCGCACCATCCTGCTCCTCCTCTCCTCCTCACATCATCCCCCCTCTCCTCCTCTCCTCCTCCTCCTCCTGCATGCTCCTCCTCCTCATCCTCCTTCTCTCCACTCCTCCACCTCCTCCTCCCCTCCTTCCCACTCTCTCCTCCTCCTCCTCCTCCTCCTCCCCGCCCGCGCCCTCGGCCGCGGACGGAGGAGAGGCGGGGCGCGCGGGGGGCGGAGCGGAGGGGCGGAGCGGCGCACCGCACACGCCGCACTTGGCCACGCCCAGCTTGTCCAGCGCCCCCTCCCAGTCCTCGCCCACGGGGGACCCCGTCCTGGCGGCGCGCGCGCCCGGGCACGGGCACGTCGGGCCGGGCGAATAGAGGAGAAAAGGGGAGGAGGAGGAGGAGGAGGAGGAGGAGCGGGAGGAGGAGGAGGAGGAGGAGGAGGAGGAGGAGGAGACCGCCCCGCGGCGGCCCAGGAGGCCTCCGAGAGAGCCCCCAAGGGCGGAGAACCCCCATATAGCCCAAGAGGGCTCCAGGACTCGGGTCGGGCGAAAGGGGGGGGATAGCAAAGGGCGGGTTTGAGAATCAGCTCGCGCAGCTGATTTTCCCGGCGCCTCCCGGCGCCGGAGGCGGCTATGTATCGAGGAATGGGCCCCTCGGTGAGGCCGAAACCAGCTGCGTGCAGCAAATTTCGTAACCCCCCCTTTCCCAATCCCCCCCTTTCGCCCCGCCCAATCCTGGCGGCGCGCGCGCCTGGGCACGGGCACGGGCACGGGCTGGGATTAGTTACCGGCCTCGAACGTATCCCTATCCCCAAGATTGGCCCGCCAAGAGGCGATGGCAATCTCAGGGATCCGCCCTCAAAAAAGAAGGGGATCCCTGAGATTGGCATCGTGATGAGGAGGTGCCCAGCATAGGGATAGGGGTATGTTCCAGGCTGGTAGAGTAGGTCGGGCGGAAAAGGGTAAGAATGGGCGAAACAAAAGTCTCAAGACAAATTAGAGCAAGATTCGTACAATCGCGCCCATACAGCGTACCACGTTTGAACACTCCCTCTGTCTGAAGAGGGACAGGCCCAGCTTGAGGCCAGGAGCATGGACAAGCGGCACCAACATCACCGGGGACCACCAGCGGGGGGAACCAGGGGGCCCACACACACACACGTGCAGATGAGAGGCCGGAGGAAGGAAGGGGGGGAGGGGGAGGGGGAGGGGGAGGGGGTGGGGGGGGGAGGTGGGGGGAGAGGGGAGGGGGAGATGCAGGAGGAAGGACGGGGGGGGGGGGGAGGGGGGGAGGGGGAGGGGGAGGAGGGATCACGGGATTTCGGGATGACAACCACTGCAGATGGGGGAGGAAGGGGCAAGCCAGCCGGAGGAGGAGTCGGAGCCCGCGGTCCTGTCCTGGGGTGGAAGTGGGGGGGGGGGGGGGCGAGGCGGAGGACGAGGAGGCGGAGACCCCTACCCATCGGTCGGAAGAAGTAGGTAGAAACATGAAGTAGGAAGGCGTTGGAAATAGATTGGGTTTCCGCACGCCTCCTGAAGAGGAGGGAAGAGGGAAAACCACTCGACGCCTGAAGTAGGAGGGCGCTGACAGTGGATTGGAATCTGGACATCCGAAAATACCTACTTTCAACGACCGATGGGTAGTGGTGTGGTCCCCCTCTCGCTCGAGACATCCCCTTCCCCGGGCTCGAGGAGGCCTCGTGGACCTTGTCGCTGGAGGTGGCCCCCCTGGTGGTTGGGGGAACCAACAATCGACAGCGGCAAAGCCAGCCTCACAAGAATCAGCCCGACACGCGGAGCCGTTTAGCAAACGCACCCAAACAGAAGTCGAACAGGGCAGGTCTTTTTAATCCGCCGGCCCCCTCGTGGGGCCACCAGGCTGCGAGGCGCGTGACTCGCAGTTTCCTGTACCAGTTGTAGTTTGCAGTTTCCAGTGTTACAATTCTGCTTCTTGCTGGTTGCTGTAACTGGTTGGCTTCTTGCTGGTTACTGTAACTAGTTGATTGACCGCGCGAGGGGGGGGAGGCCCAAACGGGATTTTTAGCGTCCCCTGGGCGCGTTGTCTGAATTACTGGGGGGGCTCGAAATCGACACCCCTCACGCAGATCCGCGGGGTCAGGGTCCAAAAACACATGGGATTTGCCACATTTCTGAAATTCGGCGCCACCCCTCACACAGATCCGCGGGGTCAGGGTCCAAAAACACATGGGATTTGCCACATTTCTAAAATTCGGTGCCACCCCTCACGCAGATACGCGGGGTCAGGGTCCAAAAACACATGGGATTTGCCACATTTCTGAAATTCGGCGCCACCCCTCACGCAGATCCGCGGGGTCAGGGTCCAAAAACACATTGTATTTGCCACATTTCTGAAATTCGGCGCCACCCCTCACGCAGTTCCGCGGGGTCAGGTCCAAAAACACATGGGATTTGCCACATTTCTGAAATTCGGCGCCACCCCTCACGCAGTTCCGCGGGGTCAGGGTCCAAAAACACATGGGATTTGCCACATTTCTGAAATTCGGCGCCACCCCTCAGGCAGATCCGCGGGGTCAGGGTCCAAAAACACATGGGATTTGCCACATTTCTGAAATTCGGTGCCACCCCTCACGCAGATCCGCGGGGTCAGGGTCCAAAAACACAGGGGATTTGCCACATTTCTGAAATTCGGTGCCACCCCTCACGCAGATCCGCGGGGTCAGGGTCCAAAAACACAGGGATTTGCCACATTTCTGAAATTCGAACCCATCACGCACATCCATCGCAAGGCGTGGTAACCCAAACTGCGAGAACTCCCTCGGCCCTTTCATCGCAAGGTGTGGTAACCAAGCCCTTAAACCATACACGTCTTACCAATCGCCAGGTGTGGTAACCCCTCTTGTGATCAGTTGGTTTTGCTGATTGCGACTCGGCTTCGCATGAAGTTTCGATACTGCTTCACGACAGCGCCAAGGCCTCATGACTTAGCTCTTCCATGGCCCGTTCTCCGAGAGAGGGGGCCGGCGGCAGGGGGCGAAGCCCTTACGGATAAATGCCCAGGGCCTTTTGGTAAACGCCAACTACTGGGTCCTGATGATTTCCTCCCATGACAAAGGGTACCGATACCGCTACTCACCTGACCTCTCTCGGGGTGCGTTCCGACCAGGATTTCGAGGCGAATACAGCGGTGGCGACGAGGGCCTCCCGGGAGGCAGACAGCAAAGGAAAACGGGCCAAGGGGGGCCGTATGAGTACCTTTTCGCCCTCCGACCCCTGGTTGAGCATCGTCTAATCGATCCCTGTCCCCACCAATGTGGCCTGGGCCCCACTGGCCGATTTGCCCCCCTAGGTGGGGGTGTAGGCTGCTCCCGTCCGGTCTCGAGGGGTATATCCCCAACTGGGGTGGTGAGGTGGTGGGGCTCGAGATAGGGGATGGGGATGGGGATGGGGATCGGTTAAGCGACATTGACTGGTGGTCGTGGTGTCGCTCCTCCCCAGAGATCCGATGCCGTGAGTTGTTCTATACGGGGTCCCGGAGGGGTCGGCCCATTCCCCAGGACCAGTGTTTCATCCTTAGTCGTTTCTTAACGGTCCCAGGGCCCGGTGAGGGCCCCTAGAGGCCGAAAATTGCGAAAAACGTCCGTCTTGATTTTTCCCACACGACAGGAGTTGAGCAGGGACCGACCGTCCCGGCATTCCTACAGTCCTACCACGAGATGCTCCTAGAACCCAACAGTGTTCGAATAACAACAACAAAGCTCTTAGAATAGAAGCCCGATGTGTTAAACCAATACAGACTCCGCCAGAAATGTTCTGAGAACATGTCATCGGCGAGCCAGGCCGCTTCGCCACTGCTTGAAGGAGGAGACCCGGCGAGGCGAGGCGAGCGCCGCGGCGACCCGTGGCCGCGCGCACACGCGGCCTGCCGCGCGCCCCGGAGGCGAAGGCGGGAGGGAGGCAGCCCCCCCGACGACGGAGCACAGGTCTCTCCTCCGCCTCCCTCCGCCTCCCTCCGCCTCCCTCCTCAGCCCCCCTCGAGTGATGAAACAATCACCTCCTCCCGCCTCCTCCCGCCGCCCCCCGCCGCCCCCCTCCGCCTCCCTCCGCCTCCCTCCGCCTCCCGCCGCCTCCCCGCCGCCTCCCTCCGCCTCCCCGCCGCCTCCTCTCCGCCTCCTCCCGCCGCCTCCCTCCGCCGCCTCCCGCCGCCTCCCTCCGCCTCCCTCCGCCTCCTCCCGCCGCCTCCCTCCGCCTCCCTCCGCCTCCCTCCGCCCCTCCCTCCGCCTCCCTCCGCCTCCCTCTTGCGCCCATCGTACCTGCGGGCGCGCCCCGGAGGCGCCGGCGGGAGGACGGCAGCCCCGCCGACGACGGAGCACAGGTCTCCTCCGCCTCCCTCCGCCTCCCTCCCCAGAACCCCTCGAATGATGAAACAATCACGACGGGGGGAAGCTTCTCGTTATCTTCGGCTTCTGGGGGGCCTTGCCGGGCCTCGGGGCTGTGAACAAGACGATTCGGGATGACAGGCCAGTCCGGGGGAAGAGGTCGAAAGCGCTGGGGGTCGACGTTTTGAAAAACTCATGGCGTCGGCGGTCTGGGTCTGCCTCCTCCCTCCGCCTCCCTCCGCCTCCCTCCGCCTCCCCTCCGCCTCCTCTCCGCCCCCCTCCGCCTCCTCCCTCAGCCTCCTCCTCCCGCCGCCTCCCGCCGCCTCCCTCCGCCTCCCCTCCGCCCCTCCCTCCGCCTCCCTCCGCCTCCCTCCGCCTCCCTCTTGCGCCCATCGTACCTGCGGGCCGCATCCCAGGAACAGCTCCGAGGACCCAGAGGGGAATCGAAGCAGCGGCGAAGGAGCATCGCCCCCCTGGGGCCCGACACGTGAAAGCCCTCCGGTTTCGGTACTCTCTTGGTGCCCGAAATTATTGCTGGCTATCAAAGCTGAAGTGTAGGTTGGAGCATCATAAACAAGTCTGGAGCCGGATCGACCACGGCGCCTCCAGCAAGAGCTCCACCAAAAGAGAGCTTCCACAGGAAACCCAACCCTGAGGCCCCAGGCTGTCCCCTGATGCTCCGCACGGGACGCCACGAGCTCCCTCGTAGGAACCATCGAAACCCAAGAAACCCTGTGCACCTTGGAGGCAAGCAATGTCTTCCTTGGCATGGGCTTCCACTGTAATTATTTGAAGCATCCGGGCACAGGAGGGGACCGGGCCCGGACCGGACGGGACCGGGCGACCCCGACATCCGGCCGGGACAGAGCGGGGATCGAGATTGACCCCGAGCCCGAGCTCGCCGACGGCGGCGACCACGGGCGGCGACACCGACGGCGACGAAGGACGGCGGACGAGGCGACGGAGGACAAGAAAGCGGGACTGGCCGTCCCGTTGTCGGGGCCAGCAGCCTGCTCTGCAGGGCCGAGGTGCGTCGCTCCCGGACGGCGCCCGTGGAAGCTGCGGAGGAGGAGGGGGAGGAGGAGGAGGAGGAGGAGGAGGAGGAGGAGGAGGAGGAGGAGGAGGAGGAGGAGGAGACGCAAGCAGCCTCCCGCCACTCCCCAGACTTCTCTCTGGGGGTGCGCTCTGCCACAGAAGCTCGAGGCGAGACCCGGCGGCGGCGCCGAGGGCCTCCGAGGAGGCCCTGACAGGCGAAAACAGGGCAAGAGCAGCGACCTAAGAGGCCCCTCCCCCCCCTCCTCCTCCTCCTCCTCCTCCTCCTCCTCCTCCTCCTCCTCCTCCTCTCCTCCTCTCCTCCTCCTCCTCCTCCGCCACCTCCCCCCTCCCACCTCCTCCTGGATGGGGTCGGAGTAGATGGGTTGGAGATCGCGCCGCATCGCCGATACATCGGCGGTGCATCGGCGATGCATCGGCGATGCGCCGGCGATGCATCGTCCACGTGGGCGATGCATCGCCGACGCCGACGTGCAGCAGATCGGGCCCCACATCAAGCCGCATCGGCGATGCATCGGCGAGTCGGCGCGATCCTCCGACCCCGCCTACTTCGACCCCCACCTGGGAGGCCCAGAGGTACAGGTGGCGTTGCCTCCTCTGACTTCGTGGCCGAGGTGCGTCGCTTCCAGAACTCGGGGGCGGCCAAGAGGGGGGGCGTCCAGGAGGGGGGGGTGCAAATCATGGCCGGCGGCATGTGCGCGGCCCAGCGGGGGGGTCAGGGACACATTGAAGTCAGAAGGGGCGCCATGAGATCTGGGGAGATACCATGGCCCCCGCCACGATATCCACTCTCCCAGTCATCACCCCCCTCTTGGCCGCCCCCGACTGACCTCGGGGCCGAGGTGCGTCGCTTCCACAACGGCGC